GGGGGGGGTGACGGCGCCTAATCGCCACTCCATGGGCGCTTGAGCACCCAAATATGGAGTCCTAGGCTTATGGGGGCGCATATGTGCCCCCTATGTTGGGGCCTAGGTGGCAACAACCAAATATGGTGTTCAATTGGAGCGCCATCTCAAGAGAAGGCGCCTATGCGACATCTTGCTAGTGCATATGCTCTAGCTCCTAAGCATGTGATAAAGGGATGTGTAGGGGCACCTAAGTTCCCCAACAAGCCTTGTGATACATAGAGCCTTGTACCTATGGACCCAGAAATTGGCACTTAGGTGCCAGGATAATTTGTCATGCATTTTTGACCTGCTGCAGGTCCCCAAAAACCTGTGAAAACTATGCAGAACCACCGGTCAACCGTCATGGACTGGTTCTAAAGCCAAAAATGGAACATTGGCTCACTTGGGATGCTTCTTAATGGGGTAAGTGATCATTCCATGCATTGAGTCCAGGGAATAGCTCTTCGAGCAGGGACTTTTAATAGGGATCAAACTCCATTTTACAAGTTTGGTCTAGGAGGGATGTGGAATTTATGGGAGAGCTATGTGGGAGTTTTGGAGAGATTTTAGAGATCTTCTTCTTACTTTTGCTTCCACCTTCCTCTTCCATCTCTTCTCTTTCATTTTTTCTTCTTCTTCCTCTCCATTTCCATTTTTGCCCACTATCTCACCGGAAAAGACAGAGGAAGAGAAGGAGTACTTATGCACTGCCTCACAGTGTCTCCATCTTAAGGAGAGCTTCCTCATTTATGTGAGAAGGATCTTCATCGGAGCTCGAGACATCGCTGAAATCTCCTCCTTGAGAAGAGCTTCTTTGTACTTGAAGAAGGGTTTATGCTGGAGCTCGGGAGTTCACTGGAATCTCCATCATGAGGAGAGCTTCCTCGTGTTTTAGGGAAGAACCTTGGTGTCTTCTCTCCTACTATTGGGAGTGCTTCTTACAAGACATGGTTGAACGTCGAGAAACTTCCACGACGATAAGAATCCTCCAAATCTCGCTTTTTTCTTCCTAGAGCCCCATAGGTCTCGTTGTTAGAGGATTATGTACTTAAAATTTTGTGCTTAAAGGAAGTCGTCAGGTTAGGGAGTCCTTTGTGGACTTTCCAATATGAATCCAAGTGATTTCCCCTTGAACCCAAGCACCAAAATCTTATAAAAGCTGAGATTGTGTCAATCTCACCATTTGTTCAATGGCTTTACTTGGATGGACAAGTGAAATTGAAGGATGGGCTGATGAAGATGCCCCTTTAGCATCATTCGCTCGATTGTGAAGAGTTCTCTACTTGAGTAAATCCTTCGCTCTAAGTCAAGCAAATAGGTGGCAAGGTCAGATAGCTTCGTGCAATATGGAGTTGACATCTCTTTTATCGATTCAACTCTAAAATTTATGCGAGGTCGTGTTCGATGCGTCTTCGAGCGTTTTGGGTTGCATTGCATAGGTGTGTTCATTTATTGCATTTTTACATGTGGATCATGTTGCATAATGTATGTGTGATTACATGAGCACTTCAGTTCAATTGATCACCCCGACAAAATCGAATGATCACTTTGGGTCTGATCGGCTATCCCGACCCCATCAATCTATTTTCTGAGCTCGATTGGTTGCCCCGGCTTGATCACCCACTTTGGATTCGATTGATCGCCCCACGTCGATCACCCGCTTTGGGCACAATCGGTTGTCTCGACCGAATCATTTTATAGTGGATTTACTTGTTTTTAAAGATGCTTTGTGGTGTTTTCTAAATGCTTATTGAGTAGTCTTTTATATTTTCCCATGTATTGATTAAAGTAAGAAATGCAGGAATGAATGAATGCTTTTAAAATTGTTTTTAAATCTTTAATGTTATGAGTAACCTTCAAGTCTTCATTGAATTATGACAAAGTGATTTAGTTAAAATGTGTTGTGGACTCATAATGACTCGGGAGAGCTATGGAAGAACAATTATGTTATTCGCGTTAAACTATATGTTATGAATCAAGTGCATTATAGGGAGAAGCAAATGTTAGAGAAATAATCTTTTATGAGCTTAAATTGGGGTTTAAGAAATTAAAACCAATTCAACCAAACTTCTCTATACACTAGGGAGAGGGTTAAGAAGAGTGTTGCTCCTATTTATCACTAACTTCTTTCACAAATTGCATTTTTCATTCCCTTCACTCCACTTAGAACATTGCAAGGGAGGGTAGCTTTACAACTTGATTATCACTAATCCAAATATATTAAGTAGAATTTCAGTAGTAAAGCTTTAAGAAAGTTTGCAATTCAGTAAGGCTAGTTAGCACAACTTTAAACCATTTTAACTTCCAATCTAAGAACGAATTTAATTAGCTAGAAATTTTTCTAAAATTAAAACACCTTGCTCTTTGTGGGTTCGATAACCCGGACTCAAAAGTCTTATATTATAAAAGTGATACGTACACTTGTCTAAGGCCCCATAGTACGGTGCACTTGGACTTAAGTTATGACCGCACCAGTCGACTTTCATGTGGTGAAGAGAAGGAACCGGCTGACCAACAGTTTGTTGGTGGGGCATCATTGGCGGAAACGCTAGCGGGAGCATGCATGAGGTAGTTAGGGCATAGTTCCTCCTCTTCCTGTGTGTGTGAGTTGGTTTCTTTAAAAGGCCTTAATTCCATGTTTTATTTTTTTTTTTCTCAATTTAAAGTTATGTGCATCGATTTGCATGTACTGGCTCGTGCACGAAACTCTAGCAATATGGGTGTCCTCTATAAACAAATTTGACCTTGTGAATGCGCTCACGCAGACTTTTTGTGATCCGGGATCGTTCAAATAAATTTATCGATGGTCGAGGCAATTTTGAACTTGTTCACGCTTGAAGACTTTTGTCGATATCTTAGGTCACAAGAACATATATACTAGAAAATAGTGTCTCATAATACCAAATACATGTGTTAAATGCGGAAGGCATAAAAAAATTATGTCAATGGCGGTTGACCAACTTAAGGACCTACCATCCGAAAGGTCCATATACATTAAAATATGCTAAAATTAGTTATAAATACGAAAATGCACGACAAAAGACAATAATGTTCTATAACCTCCAGTCAAAGTTGGGGCAAATATATAATTTTCCACTTTATGACCCTCTATCTTCTATAAATTACGGTCCAATGCATGTAAAAATGGTTGTTGGCTTTTATCTCTAGATCCATACTCTGTTCATCTTCACTTTTGTAACTCTTCAGTTACAATATATAAAATGGGTTACAGAGGTCGGACACATCACAATTTTCCCCTACGAGGGCAAATCAATGTGTGTTATTTTACTTCTTCCTCTTTCTCTCTCAACTTCTCCCTCTAGGCCTCTACCGATCCGATCCTTGGGCATGCCTCATATGATAAATTTGGATTCAACATCCTAAAAGGTGTAATGAATGTGGAGCATACTTCCAATAAGAAAGAAAGCAATACCAACGAGAAAATGCACATCTCAAATACTCTTAAACAGAGAGCATGATAAGGAGTTCATGCAATAGATTTGGAGCTTGAAACAACATTTTCGTCGTCTTCCAAGAGGCTTTGGCTAGGTGGCAAGTACTTCAAAATGGATGTCTAACTTCCAACGGAACGAGCCAATCAAACCATATTAGTGCACTGCTCTGCCTGGCATAGGTGATCGATAACATGTTCATACATAAAGGGAGTATTGTTTTGAAAACTTTTCTAATATTATGATGTATTTCTCTAATGTTCTCTCAGGTCCAATTGATACTTGGGGACTAAAATCTAAAAAACCATGCCGATAGCGGCTCCAAAGAGGTTCAGTCAACAAAATATTCCATAATGCTCCCACGTAAAAAAATTCTTGGTCTATGAGCTTGAATAGAATAAAGCTCTATAGGTGATTCCCTACTCGGTAGCAACAAGCTCCGTGAAAGATATGATACAAATCACCCCAATAGCAAGTCTACGTGGTAACCACCGCTAAATCAGTGATAAAATCCGCCTAAGACCTGATGAACGAAAAGACTATATTGATGTGATAATTCAACCGAGTAAATTAGACCCTGAAAAGTTAAATACTTGAGCCAGATGACAATATCAAAAAATAAATGCAATAGATAAGGAAGATTTTTTCAACAACAAAACCGGCCTAAAGCATCCAAGATGAAAAAAATCGATCTCTAAGCCCAACATCGATATAGCTTTGGAGAAGGTCTTCTCCAACAATGAAATGAGTTCTGATAATTACCCGTGCGAAGGCAACACCAAGATAAGAAAGATATTTTCCCTGCAAAAAGCGAAAGCCCTGTTCAGCTACGTGCCAACGGCTCGTCACGAGTGAAAACAGGACAAACAATTCTCGCCCCATCACCCCCTTATCCCATTACAAAATCAGACACTTTTCTCTATAAACAAACCCAATCCACTCCTCAACCCGTTCAGCTACTACATGCCAACGGCTCTTCAGATGGCCGCTTACAGAAGAAAACTCTTCTCATCAGCTCCCGCCATCTTCCTCCTCCTTTCCCTCTCCCTGTTCCCCGCCCAAGCCCTCAACATCGGCATCCAATCCTCCACCGGCGACGCCGTGGTTTTCATCTCAAAACATAAAACCTATCTGCCAACTCCCCTTTCCCCTTCCACTTACTGAATATATTTTCTGTGAAATTTGAAAAGGAATTGCGAGTCGGAGTTCTGCACAGGTTTGTTCTACATCAACCAATTCCTCAAAAGGTTTCATCTTTCCTAATTTATGTTCTTAATTCTCGCTGAAAGTTTCAATTTTGATGCGAAGAGCCGCTGTTTTTGAGATATGGAAAGTACTGCGGGATTTTGTACAGTGGATGCCCAGGGGAGAAGCCCTGCGACGGGCTCGACGCCTGCTGCATGAAACATGACTCCTGTATTCAAGCTAGGAACAGTTCGGTTACTGCGTTCTGTTACTCGATTCTTCTTCTTCTTTCTTTGTTAAAAAAGTTTAAATTTTTCTTGTTTGCTTGCTGTGTTACAGATGATTATTTAAGCCAGAAGTGCAGTGAGGATTTATTGGACTGCATTGCAAGATTCAGAAAACAGAACTCGCCATCGTTTAGGGGGAATAAATGCATGGTTCAGGAGGTGGCGGATGTGATTACACTGGTTATAGAGGCGGCGCTGCTGGCAGGAAGAGCTCTCCATAAACCCTAAATTAGTTGAAGGAATGAAGAAGATCACATTTATTGCTTCTGTTTCCAGTGTTCTTGCTGTGGGAGAGTTAAATGTGCTATGTGAAGGACAGATGGAGCACATGGGGCTCAATAATTGAGAGTGCCCATCAGTCGAATTGTTTGTTGGTTTATTTATTGTCATTGCGTCTCTAGTCCTGTTTTCAGTATTCATTAATGTTGTTTAATAAAAAATATTGTATTAGTGTTGATATCAGCTAAGACTAAACAGAATATTAATCAGCAGTACAAGTTAAAAATAGCCTAAAATCTAAGGCTGAACAGAATATTAATCAGTGCTGCAAGTTAAAAATAGCCTAAAATCTAAGGTTTGTCGCTAAGAAAAATTATCGCATAGCATATCCAAGTGCTTGCTCAAGCTGAAAAATTCTCAGAATTTTGCTTATAGTTTAGTGAATGGCATCGAGATGATTGAGATATTTTTTTCATAATATATATTGATTGTAGCATGAATTTCATGAGAGATGGACGGCTAGGGAATAAGGTATGACTGATTGGATGTAGCTCGTAGACGATCATTTGATTTAGACACTAGCGTAAAAAGCGCCTTATTCAGTAGAGCGTGCTTGGGAATCTCTCACGAGGCGGTGATTGGACGCAACTTTTAGGAACTTATCTGGTTTGAAAATTGGTGAAGGGAGCGCCTTGTTCGAGTAATCAATTGAGCGTGTCAGGGGATCTCTCAGAAGGCGGTTATTGGTCATCAGTACAATCGGAAAAGAGTATTTTGTCGAATCAAATGTCAACAAAGCCAATGCTCAGTAGGCGGTCCGTGAACTTCTTGTTGATCGAACCAATCTTCTAATTTTATTATATGCAAATATCTCTGTAAATTACTAAAAAGTCTCTCAGACAAATAAATGATAAGGGGATTAATATATACTTTTGTAATGTTGGGACCTATGTCTATAAACAACAAATCCATGTCATGAATAAGGAGCACTCTCTTTTACTGTTTCTTATTGTACTCTCTTTATCTCTCTCTGATTGAACGCTCTATACTTTGGTTGTATTTCTCGTACATTTTTTGATTCATCCTTTACGGTGTGGTGATGGTGGAAATATTGCGTCAATAAGAAGAGAAGCCCAACAACAACAACAACAATATGAAGAATCTAGTAAGAGGAATGTGGAGGAAGTAGCATGCACTAGTGAGTTCATGGAAGAATTCGTCCAACAAATCTTGCATGATTTGAGAACTCATATCACTAATCAGATGTGATGACAATTTGCAAAAGTACTCAGAGCCGTGGCTGTCTTAGAGGTAGTCCGAGTCCCAGGAGGAGAATTGACCCTTCAAGGAGCACCTAACCACTCTAAAGGAAAACCACCAACAAACAATGGAAGAAGACTGATCAACTTACTTGAGAAGGCTGATAAATTGTACCAAGCTAGTGTTGATTTGTCTTTGTGGAGGAGAGGAACCGACCAGCACAGACCGAGGTACAAAGGCTGCCAAAAAATGCTTTCTCTCTACAGATCTCGAGAGTTGAACCCTGGAGAAGTTCAAAATGTCTGTCTTAGAATCATATATAGGACAATCAGATCCCAATGACCATCTTGAGTCATTGAAATCATCCATATGCTTGTTGAAATTTTCTTATGCCCTCATGTGTAAGCTTTTCTTTACGATGTTGAGACCAACCGCACTAATTGGTTCGAGGGGTTGCCCGTTGGGGTGATTACTTATTTTGTGGAGTTCAGAAGACTCTTTCTATCACAGTTCGTAGTTCCCTCAGGCCTAAGAAGAGCATATGATCCCTATGGCAACTAAAGCAAGGAGTCAACGAGAGCCTGCGGTCAATTAACACTGAATGTCAAGGATCTGAAACTTAATAAGACCCAGGCTGTACTGACACAAGGAATGCGGTCGGAAAGATTTTGTTTCGACCTCAAACTAGCAGAACCATAGAGTTTTGTTGAGTTGTTAGAGATAACCAACAAGTATGCCTTCGCCTATGAGAACACCCAAGAACTCGTTGAACAAAGATACTAGAAATGACTGTCACACGAAAACAGAAAACAACCCGGACAAAATACACGATCAAAAATTTATATCAGACATGGGATGGCCTCTACATCATCCAACAGAGAGCTGGGCACGGGGCAAGCTGAAGATGTTTGTGAGAAATGATGTCCCTATAACTTGGAGAAGTGATGATTTAAAGAAGTTTTTCCCTTAAAATCATCCCTACTTGTTAAAGAAACACTACCAATATTTTGTGTAACACCTTTCTTTAAAAATCCCTCCATGAAATGAAGAATTTATTTTTTACATATAAAGCATTCAATAGTTTAGGGTTTATATGTTCAAAAATCTTCTAAAAATATTTTCTTCGCTTATTTTTTACTCTCGGGGAACTGACGTTGTCGTGCTCGGGGAATTGACGCAACGAAAAATGGCCTATAGAACGTATCAACACTTGATAGGGACAAGCTACGTAAGGGGTGCGTAAATAATCATATTGTGCTCAAACCACAAAGTTAGCACCTAGTAGTGCTTTGCGATGAGTGTCTAACGATCAACCGTGGCCTATGAGACATTGTTGACCTCACTTTTGGTTGAGGTCTAGAAAACTTCTTTAGTAGCCTAGGTCTAGCCATAGGACTTTCCTATTGACTAGTCTTAGAAAACTAGAAGAGGTACCCCACTATTAGAAATTCAAAACTCTTCTTTTTATTCAACTTGAAATTCCACATATTGATCTTAACCTCTAGCATTTAGTAGGTAAGATCATTATAAGAGAATTTAAGAAGAATCCCTACAGGATTACTTGGCTTTAGGGTTGACCCGGGGTGTTGACTTGGAACTAAGATACACCACATCTTCACAATACATTAATCCATGGTTCATTTAGAATGGATATCTATCCAATTCTATGTGAAATGCTTAACTTGGTATTTTGCCCCTAGGCACCTCCAAATTACCTAACTGCCCTTGGGACCCAAATTTGGCTAATATTCCCAAATTTTGCCAAAATACCCAAAATTGATCAAAACCCATTTCAAACACCTTGAATACATCCAAATTTGTCAAAATTTCCAAAAATGACCAAATTACCAAAATACCCCTCCATGACCCAAAATCCAAAAA